AACAACAACAACAACAACAACAACAACAACAACAACAACAACAACAAGAGCACCGAACCAGCACCATGGGCACCGTGCTCTCGTTCAGTCCGCGGGAGAGACGGAGTTCCGTGTACCCGCCGCCGGGACACCAGCATCCCGCTGATTTTACGCTCAACAATTTCAATTACGAGCAGCTGAACAACGCGAAGAATCGCGAGAAGAAGAGCGGAGTGGCTACAGTGGCGCCGGCGCCGCCCACGAATCACCCGCCCACGAACAATAATTCGTTGCAGAACAACAATATCAATCTAAACAACAACGGCAACACCAGGCTCATCTCGGAAAAGAACGGTTTCGACACTACCCTGAAGAAGCCCTCGTTGTTTATAAACGCCCTGTCGTGGAGGCGGTTCAGCACCGCGAACAACAATAAGAAGAAGTTCGACAACAAGAACAAGAACACCGCCTTCAGACAGCCGCTCGATAATATACCGATCGTCGACCAGAACAAGAACGTACATACACCGCAGGTGAGCTACGTTTTTTTCCCCCTTATATTCGTTGTTGCCCTCGTCGCGTTTAACTCCCGTTACATTCGCATGTTATTGTTATGGTTGTATCAAACGTTTCGTTACGTATCCGTGGCACGCATCCATTGGCGTCGTCTGCGCATAGCAGAACCAGCGAAACCGCCAAATGAAAACGCCCGCGTTTACCCCTGATCCAAGGGTGGAAATTATATCTCAAACGTTGCGCGCTCTCGTGCTATAGATACTTCGTTTTTAATATTGTACTTTGGGAATGCCAAGAAATTAGATAGCATTTGTTTCGCAAAGAGATTCACCATGCAAGATTCCATTATTAATAAATTATGAGAAATCTACACAGTCGCGAGTGGGCGTTCAGGTGCGAGCTGAAGTGTCGTCGTACTATAAATTTTTAACATCTATTACTAGAGATTCGGTGCTTATTGAATTCCCTAGTTCGCAAGAAAACCTACTGGTACGTCTCTGCGACGAATGGTGGCCCTTTTCCTCCGAGTGCCCGCCAAGCAGCCTCGAACAAGTGTCTCGGAAGTCTTGCACGAGGAACACCGAAGGTGCTTTGACCCCGGTCGCGATCGAAACCGTATCGATCGTCGCGGTGTTTTCCTTTGCGTTTTCACTTACTGTTTCGTACATTTCTCCCTCGCAAAGGTATTCCCAAGGAACGAGACTATTCAGGGTTCTACACTGCCTGCCATTAACACGTTGGTCGCCATGTCACCCAGAAATGGGTGGCAGGACTTTTCAATAATAGAACTAAACAAATTAATTCCAAAAGTGAGACGATAATAAAACATAAATGGATAACATTTGTGAATTAAATAGGTTAGAAAATTAAATACTACGACAAATGATAAGTTATCTAATCTTTAACAGGCTCGAGACGAAATTTCAACTTGGCGAAATTTTCATTACTTTTAGTCTGACAGCCAACGTGTTAACGATTTAACATGATTTCGTGGAAGTTAATTTGAAATATCGTTGTGACAGATAAAACGATCAGCGTCGAACAATAATCACACGACGTACAACCCGACATGCGAGAAACTAGTTCAGAAGCCCTTACCCCCCGGGCCAAGGAAAACTGTGATCCAAGCCTCGACCTCGGAATTGCTCAAGTGCCTCGGCGTCTTCCTTCACAGGAAATGCACCCGTTTAAGAGACTTCCAAGCCGGCGACGCTGTCATGTGGCTGAGGACCGTGGACAGAAGCCTGCTGCTTCAAGGCTGGCAGGTGAGTCTTCTCAAACTCATGTTTCTCTCATATAACATCGATCAAAGTTCAAAACTGTAACTTACGTTTTCGCGATAATCTCATACAGTACTCTGGGTCCGTAGCTATGTTTGGATGTAGCTACAGCAAGGGTTTAAACGATCCCGAGGTACCCGAGCTATAAAATAAATAGTATTCCACGCGAGTCAGACAACTGAGTGCATCTAGTTTGTTTATATATTGTGACGCTATAAGTGCATTGCAAGGCTGAACGATCACAACGTGATCAAAACCTTTAGGAACTCATTCCATAGACAATTATTCTAGGAAATAATTATTTCCCGTTCGAGATACGAACATGCGACGCGGCAGAAACTGCGAGAGCATCCCAGCTAAATAACGATAACGGGATAATTAATATTTATCCCTGACACGGGCGTTACCTAATTCGCGACTGATTAGAGCTTATCGCCGATGTACCGAGATAATAAGTTAATTAACGTGGATACGAAACCCGTTTGCGTTGTTGACGATCGTATTACATCGCTATTAGCGTTGGCCCGCGGAACACTGCGAATCACGGCGAGAAATAAAAGTTCGCCAGACCACTCTAATGGAAAGGAAGCTTCCGCTGACCCGGAAGAAATTTGCCTCGCGAGTCGATCGTCAGCGTTCGCTTCCGAATCGGTTTACATCGGTTCGGAGAGTCGAGAGAGCAGCCCACTTGAACGAAACGAGATCTACGGGAGGAGCGAGAGCACCCTTGACTTCTTTTGCATCGAACTCCGACTCTCTTCCTCTGTTAAGGGTGCATGTGCGGCCCGCGGTGGCCCAAGGGAATAAGCGGCACGTAATGAGAACCGCCGAGGGCACGTTAGTCACAATATGTCACGAAGGGAATTAACCGCGCGCGACTAGACCACTTTTCCCAGAACCAGACACCGATTTCCATTTAAGTCCACTCGCAATGGCACTTGGCCGAACGATGAACCGTTCGGTGAACAGGTCGCGACACCGTATTTCCACGAGAACGAAATCGATCAAACATCGACGAGTCGCGGTTTCCCCTACGAACTCTTTTCGATTTCACTAGCGAATTTCGCATTTATGCTAATACACCGCGCTCGGCGGTTGCGGTTTATGCAAATTTTATGGTCTCTATCCTCGATCGACCTCCGCCCATCGAACTTTCGTTTCCCTTTACTGCGAAAGGATAGAATGCAATTTTCATTTATCGCCAGACTTGGGTTTCGTTCTAGTATCGCGGACTTCTCGACAGGATGCCAAGCGTACGTCGGTGAACGTACACCCCTGTCCATAAATATGTGCTAACGACATTACTTTCCAGTCCACCGAATATGTAAATAATTACATTTTATTATATTTATTACTAGATATTATCAATTCCAGGGCCGTACGAAATTCCAGTTTTTAATTTTCTTAACCCATCACAGAGGCGTTCCCTCTTAATATCGTATCAGGTCAGGTCATCGTTTATTGCGCGTGTTTCTTCAAATCAGTAAGAGAAACTTGGACAAAGGAACCTTGAAATCCCAAGTAGCGACAACATCACGTTCCCATTTCATGCTCTAGATTTACCTGCACCGAGCACGAACATGCGAGTACGAATCCTCCGTAGTATTTTCCAGAATCGAACTAGTATCATATACTCAGAATTCCAGAGCAACGGAGAATTTTTCTTTGTTATCGTGTCGCCGCATCGTTTATCGCGATGAATGACATTCGCGCGATTCCTTCGCGCTGTCCCTTTTCACTTGCAGCCACGAAGGTCATTATCGATCAACCTGTTCACGAGCAGTCGCGCGTTCCGAGTGACGCTTTTCATGGAAAGCCGACAACGTTCCGCCTACGAAAACAATATTTACTCTTCCCTGGAAGCGGTCTGCGTTCTTCGTCATCGGTGACGTTTGCACCGCTGTGTTACCTTGGAAAACGATCCATCGGTTGTCGTATGAATCGACGGAGTAATTTTAACCCTTCCGCGTAACTAACCTACCTGACGCCACCTTTGCCAATTTTATTGCAAAGACATTAAATACTTTCGGGTATGCGTTGGTTCTAGATTCAAGATAAAAATATAATTTCTATCGAAAGAATTTTCTAAGGAAGTTTTCTGTAATATATGTATAAATTCCTCTCAATTCTATAGCAAAATTTGTATCGAAGAGTGCCCTTATATGAAGCTAAAAAATAAGTTGAATGGAGATGTCTCGTAGTTCAAATTGATTGCAGTTACTCAAAGGATAAGTTTGTAGCCTTTTGAGGCACGAGTTATTGCAAAAGAAGATCGCAAATTTTCTTTTTAACCCCTTAAACTACAACCACGTGTTAGACTGGTGTATAGTTTGGACCAAATGTAAACATCATAGTTTGGTCCCAGTCTGTTGGAGCTTAAATAGTAGCTTAAGGGGTTAATGCAATAAATTTAATATCACTTTTTATTATCAAAATAACAACCTAGATGACAGTGAATGGGTTAAACGTTGTAACGGATAGTGTTGTTGACTAATAATTTTCTCCGCCATCATTCTGATGATTTTCGAAACTTTCAAGTTATAAAGAGCCTCGAGATAACCCTAGTTCGCGGTAATATTCCACTGGAATTTGAGTTTGTACAGTAGCCCTAACGCAACTACGTACACCCACGCACAGCGTCGAATAATAAGGGGTGGCACTCGTCTGTGTGTTTATTCGTCCCGATGAGTGGACGATGTAGGCAAATATACAGTACAGACCCGCGGGTTTCACTGTCAAAGGATCTCTTTAGCGATCAACGCCCGAGCCACCCTGTTTCCCAACCCCAAATCCGACGAGTCCTTGCTCGAACGTTAACCACTCGCTCTCCGGCACGCTAACTTTCGCAGGCTCAATTTCTAAGGGCGGTTTCAGTGTTTTGAAATCGTAAACATTCTCTCTAAATTACGTCAACCCTTTATCTGCTTCTGCAACTAATTCGAGAAATGTCTAAAGCGTTCGATTATAAATTTTCTGATCTTAAATCAATTTCCAGTGAAATACGATAAAGCTAAGCGGTTCGAGCATGATTTTTTCAGTCCTCCTCGAGCTTACGTAGGTATTTTCATTTTTCAAAGAAATTGGAACGCGCGTTAATTATAAAGAACAATAGAAATCGATAGGGGTTATCGCGACGAGGGGATGCTGCAAACAAAATACGCGAGAGGGTTCCGTATGGGGTCACGTGCGTCAGCGGCAACATCGCAATGCCACCCCTCAAGAGAGTGTAGAAATATGCGGGGGCATCGTACGTTCACCCTTCGAGTTTAATTGCATGGGGGAGACGACCTCTTCCCGAACCCTAGAGTTCCTTGTACTCGAAAGACGTTTCAACGGGGAGGAGAACGAGATCGCTTTAAAAAATTTGCAGCCTCGTCGCTGGGCGTAGTTTTCGTATAAAAATCGTCGGGTTATTGCTCGATGTTTACGTAGGCTAGAAATCCTTGTAGGGGCTAACAGAATTTCACGTAATACGAATCGAAAATGAACCTCTATAATTATATTTAGTAACGAATGAATGTCGATAATATTAGTCTAGTAATCACTTAGTGCAAGGTCTAAAATGTTTGATGGATGTGATAAAGATTCCATTTATATATATTTTTATTGTTATCCTTGTTGTGTATGATCTACGAAGAAACATCTTTTTACAGCAACGTAAAAAACTACATTATTTATGAGATGACCTAATAGATCGGTATATTCTTATTCGAATAAAATTTCCTTCAACAGTAGTAGAAAATCAACTGACCAATCCTCTTCTAGACTCACGTAAATCTCACTACCGATGAGCGAAACTGTAGAAGTAAACACGTTACAGAAAAGAATAAAATTGCATTTTCACGGTTTTGTAGCGCTTGACGCAAATCGAGCCCGCACACGCGTCACAAAGAGGCCGCGTAAACAAAGCTTTTTCAATCCATATAAAAGATACAAATCGTGGTTGCATCGAATTAGCGAAGGCCATGTCAGCGTTACGTAAAACTTCGTTCCATCGATTTTTCACCGTCCATACGGTTCACTGAATTTCCATTTCCATCGAATTCTAAATCAGTCAATTACTCGCGACAGTATTTTTATATTATTTTTAATAGCCACGACTCAGTTCCGGGATGATAATTACAATATCGTGAAGCTTGTCGCGTTTACTATAAACGCCGCAATAAATTGGCGAGCCGCGCTTTCCTCGAGCGGATTTGAAACTCAAGCAAAAGACGTTGCCCCGGTTTTTGAAGTTCGGAACGCTTGCCTTGGTCAATCCTTGCATATTTACTCGCGATTCGCGACGACTTTGACGCAAGTGGGGCAATCAGATGCCCCGAATAATTTGCCGTCGCGCTCGCCGCCACTTCTCTTTGCGAGTGCCACTTAATTCGACGCCAAGCGCATGATAACGACGGAAGTGTCGACCGTACTGGTAAAGTGTTTCCTAAAATATTGCGTTACTTGGCGTAGAACGTAGAAAAATATACTTAGCACTTATACATATATATATAGCACAGAAAAATATACTTTGTTATCGCTTAACACGTTGATCACCACGTCACCTATATCTGGATGACAGGGATCTTCACTAAGGTACTAAAAAATTCATTTTGAAGATCAGGTGTTGAAGACAAGAATTATTGGCAAAAGAAGGTCGTAAATTTTCTTTTTGAAACAACAAATTTCAAGTCCAAGGTAAAACACTTTAAATTTGTCTGATAGTGAATAGATTAAACTCACAGATTCTGTGTTCGACGTTTTCACTCTCTTTAGTAGAAGTTTCGTACGGGGATACACATAACGTGTAGAAACCACCAATAGAAAATCACGCTTCGAGGTTTTCGTGCGGCGACAAAGAACCGCAAATCGATCGCGCACGTGCTCAAATCTAATCAGTCAAGGGTGACACACGCAGGTCGTCCAAGAAATACACTTCGGTTGGTTGCATTGACAAATTTCATGTACAAGGCGCTCGTTCGTCCAACATACTTCCTTGAAAA